TCTTTTAGTGTTGTAAAGCATATTTTTGAAAAAAAAAGTTGCCTGAATGGGGAAAACTTATTCCTTTTAAGAGACGTAGACGAAGTTACTCGCAATGTCAGCCATACATTAGCAGGCAGACGTGTAACATACCCTGAAGGGAATATAGAAATATGGGTATATTTCAAAACTTTTCTTTAGAGTCCAGCTAATAGATGCCAAGCTAGTCACATCCTACCGAGCAGACTAAGACTATTCTTACTGACTGACTAAGCATTACCCCACAGAGGAATCAATTTCAAGCAATTTCCTTAAAATTCAAAACTCACGATAACAGAAAAATATAGATGATGTTTAAAAAAATACATTTTTATTTAATGCCAAGTTTTGAGTTGAAATTAAGTTTTTTTAAGACTTCAATTTCTTTTATTATAAAATGTAACACTGAGTATTTGATATTGCATATTGAAACATCTCGGACGGAATGCTAACGAAGTCCCACGCTTATAATTTTAAAAGAAATCTTAATAGAGAATCTCGTAAAAATACACCAAGAAGCCGTGGGTAACTTGTAGGATATCTTAAGTCCCTAAATCGATATATAATTTGTATTAACCTAAAGTGTATTTTAAACGCGCTTCAATTCGTACTTCACTACACCGTGTACGTAGGATTTCTTAAGAAAAACTTCAATATTATTGAAGTTTTAACACATAGCGCCATCTGTTTAGCGACTAAAGTGTTTTAGAGATTAGTCTTTTTAGGAGATAATAAATTATCTAAAACACTTGGTGGTGCCTGCGGTTCCAACAAAAAACGTGCAACGATTAACTATTATTAATTCAGAACAAATTGATTTAACGATTCAGCTAAATTCGTATACTCGGCAGTATGCGAATTTAGCGGAATCTTATAAGTAATCCGCAAAATTCGTATACTGCCGTTTGTGTTAACCTGTCACTTATTATAATGTGAATTTATTCATAAGCTGTACCTGTATCTAGTTATAATAAACAGGTCGCAGTGGAGCAGTATGTAGGTTATGTACCTATACAACTTTCATGCAAGGATTTGGGTTTGAATTATTTAGGACAAGATTAGTTGTCATTGCCAATAATCACAGAAATAATCTGAAACTCCATAAATCGTCTTTAACGAAATACAGAAGAGCAATGTTAATTAATGTCTAGTGTGTACCTCTTGATAAAAACCTACTTATCGTCATTACCGTTAGAGATCTTTAGAAGTGTGGTTGCATTATCAAAAAAAAAAAACAGCAGTTTTCCTTTATACGTTCAATCCGACGAAATTTCTATCCCCACTTGGATACTTGGCACTCCAACGCTGTGGGCCTTCACGATATTTTTTCTCTCGCACTAACATCTTGAGGAACAAATTGTCATCTGCGGTATTTCCGAACCGATACAAGCTTCAAGCCTTCAAGAGAAACCTCATAGGTCTAATAAATAGTATTTCTTTGCAAGCTTAGGGATGAATGTGGATTGCAATAGGTTATGATTTGAGATTAAAGTTTCATCGCCACCATTTTTATGTTATAGGCTTTGTCAAAAAAGGGCGATTGAACAAAGTTAACTTTGAGATGAGCAATGGTGTCATCAATAGATGAGATAGTACACGCGTGATAAAGAAAGATAAAATGGCTCTGTAGTTCAAGTTTCGGAAATTACTTTTTCCGAAATGTTCTACGTGAATATTTCGTAGTTACTCATTCCTAAATATATGTAAAAAAAAATATTACTTTTACTCTAATCCACAATCAATCACAACGATTTGTAGATTTTTGTTACTAATTTTGCTAAAAAGTTTAATTTCGTTAACAAGTAAACCCGGTTGTTCTTAAGATTCATAAACGTCGTTACACTTTGTTTTCACAACTTTGCATTCTTCTTCTTCTTGTTACACGTTATCCTGTTATCTGAAGATTCACGAAAAAATTAACCTATTTATTTATGACGTTATAACACAAATAATAATATACAATATATAAAATGCATATTACATGTATTTTTGATACCGGTATGATGACACTACGGTCGACATAATTATTAACTGTGATTTTGAATTGTTCAATCCGAACGTTGAGGATTGAATGCTCCAGAAATGAATATTTTATGCAAATTGCGGCATTCTTATGGCTTTAAGCAATTACCCTACTCTCTGGACATTTTTGAACATCAGTTTATTGTTGTTAAAATGTACAATAATTTGCCATAAGGATGGCAAAGAAGCATACCTACTATTTATTCTTATTGGGAGAAATGTTAAAATTTCTTCTTTGTCTGTATCAAATATAGAAATGGGTATCGACAGCAAAAAAAACGACAGATTGTAAAGTTCCTAATCAAATACTCAATCAAACCACTCATCCTTTTTTTTTTTTTTTAAAGTGATAATGAACAACAAATAATATTATTAGTATATGTATTATGTGTATTGTGCGAATTATATAATCAGTAGTAGAGAGTGGAGGGGAGTGTTGGTTCAGTTAATTGTACAAAATGTGTCTACCTTTGTTTTACATAAATTTCTAGTGTACTGTTTTCATAATCACACTAATCATGTTATTTAATGTTCAGCCTATGAGACACACGGATCTAACCTGCTCACATTAGACTTTAGTCACCAAGCAGAGCGATTGGGCGTATTTACGCATATATGTATGTGCTCAGTACATACGTGGGTATGTATCCACGTGTTGTTAAATATTTCGCTCTGCGTGTCAGGGGCGTATGCCAATGCCAACACGAGATCTCGAATGTGCACTGACATAAAACAGTATCATGTGCACATTACCGCGAGAGATGTTCTAATAACTTTCTTGAATTCGACAGCTTTGCCTAGTTACAATGCTAACCACATAAGCAAAACCCAAACTGTTGGTATTGAAAATTAATTTATGTTGATTGGAGAGTGGTTCAATAGTTCATTGTTACTAATTTATTTAGTTAAAAACCACCAGAGCACTATTAATGAGTGTTAAAAGTTATCTCTAGATTGGACTTGTGTTAAGAATCATGTATTATGTGTCAGTGAAATGATTTGATTACCTACATTTGAATCACAACTAACCAAATGTATTTTATATTAAGCCGTATACCAACTAGTAAATCAACAAACGGAAACGGAGAGATGTTGTGTTTTATATGTAGCTAGACATAAATACCAAAGCCTAAGTGATATCACACTAGAAGCAGTTGTGTTGAAAATTGCTACTAGATGGATAATTAACATCATCCTATAACGATTCTTTGTTATTACATTCTATAGATGTTAACTGCAAGTCTTGTGGATTCGTAAACAGTGTCTTTAGCTTTAGTTGTTTATGGTAAGTATATTTACATTAAGTAATGTCTTATTCTTTAATTCCTACTTTTGACGTTAGATTCTACAGGTACTTCAATACGATCTGAAAAGTAATTTGCTTTTTCGTCAGAGCCAGGGGAAAAGAAGCAGATTTAGCAAATCCTAGTTGGTAGTCCCGGGTCGACTACTCCTGCAGGGCGCCCGCCACCCCGGCGTTTACCCACCCTCCAACTTTCACTCTTGTGCGTTGGGGATCTCGACCTCACCACGGGTACGAAACACTGTTACCGCCCAAGGACGCTCAATGTGTTGTAACACGTCCCCTCGTAGTCATAAAGATGAAAATGGTTCGGCCGTTGATAGTGCGAGGTCGAGAACATTTGAGCGGTGCGTCTAGGGCGTAATAAGTGTTGACAAGTCGTCGGGGAATAGTAGGCCTTACGAAGAGCGAAATAACGGCGAAATCAGTTTGCTTTAAGAAGTGTTACACGCATTGGGCGCTGCTGCTGAAGACAACACCGGCCAAGTACCGGATCCCTCGTCACCGGGCAACCCGCGCACATTTTACAAATATTTCATACGCCTGTGTCGGATTTTGGTGCTGATTAAAGAGTATAACCATAATAAATTCTTTACTACTACACATAAGTACCTATAAATTAGGGTCGCGGATGCCATAGGTACGGTCTTGGCTGTTAATTTAGTAAACAATAGCAATGCTTGGAAGGCGACATACCTATAGTATACGTAATTGTAAAGTATGGAGCAACATCAGATATTGTTATTATTGTTGTTGTGGTACTACGATTGTCTGTACATGTAGATTGCTCTTGGTTCATATGCATACCCTATTTAGCGATATGTGATTGTAATCGCTTTACGAATATTACATTGTAAGTAGTCGCTGCTCCGTATCATCGCATTACCTAGTGACGTAATGTCCAATGGTTCATGCTTTGGTTTCTGTTTGTTACGCTACTTGTGGGGTTTTTAACCAAGTCATGCCAATTAGTTCGAAAGTTCGTATAAGTGCAACGAGATATTGTACATGTAAAAGGTCAGAAGTAGTTTTACATGTCATTTATTAGTTTGAAATAAACAAGAATGACCATCTGACTGTATCTGTAAGATAACACGTTATTCAATTAATGAAGATAAAAACATCAGTGTTTATGGATATGAAAATTTTCAGAGTGGTAATTGACTGTTGATGTTGAACACCGATTGATAGCTTATTGGTAACGGACGGTTGTCAGAATTGACGTGTTTATTGATAAAGTTATTGTTTTCAGCGGTACTCGCGAGTGTAGGTATCAATAGCTAATAACAACGACGCAAGAGCAGATCACATACAGAGCAGAGGCGAGATCGGAGCGCGTCCGATTCGGCGGCGCCAAGCTAATGTCGCGGCAGCTCCCGCTGCGACCCTACAGCCCACGCGATAAGGCGAACATCGCTGCGCGCGCCCGCTGACCTCACCGCACCGCCGGCAAATAATAATAAACACTGATAAAAGTCGCAGAAGCGATGACCGGCAAGCGGCAAGTATTTAGGGATACTGATTTGGCAAACACGTCGGGTCATCGTGCCCGCGACGGCGCTACGAGGCCACCAGGTTAGTTGTCGATGATGCCGGTATACATCCTCACCGGCTGCTTCTTGGGGGGCTAGAGTATGACAAAACTAGATATGATGACATGGGACGTCCTACGGTTGTCGCCCAAGCGGCCACCGTAGGAAGCGCAAAAAAGACGAAAGTCACGTGCGATAAGTACATACCTGCGTGCGGCGGAGGTGTTGTGGCGCGCAGCTCGAGCAACACTCGGGTCGGTGGCGCGCGGCTGACTGGCGGGCGGGCAGCAGAGTCGCCGCGGCAGCAGCGGCGCCCTCCCGCGCTCCGCTCAGCCCCCGCTGCATTCTGTGCGTGCGCCCGCCGCCGTCGGGAGAGCCGCCACTCGCCGCTTCCACTGACATCAGCGTCTGACACCTCCCCATATCTCGCACGCACGCAACGCCTGTCACCTCTGCGTGACCCTCGCGACCGCCTAGCCGCACCGACCTCGCTATGTTTATTCGTTTAACCTACCTTACCTACTGCGAACCCACCATTGTCAACGATTCTAATTACATTACCGACACCAGACACTAACAAAATGCTAATTGATTTAAAAACAGATCGTTATATTTCTGGAAGACTGTTATTGACCCATTAGGATGGCTTTTATATCTCCAAGGTTGACTTGTAGAGCCTTAGAAACACTTGACACCCAAAGTTCACCACCAGCACAAGCGAATACCAAGTAACGCAGATAAATATATCTGCTTAGCAAATAGCAGTCTTAAACAGGTAAATGATGTTGCTTACACATATTGAATGACTTAATTATGTACATTGAAATTCGTAACACAAGACTACAATAACAACTAAAGGCGAGTGCAGTTGTTTGAACTATGTGGTTGATATGGATGCTAAAATACTATTGGGGAACTAAACTTGTAAAGTCGTCACTTGCAATTTTGGTTTATTCTTTTTGTAAATCGTGATTATACAGCACCTGACGTGTCTACAATTGTACAGACTTCAAACGTTAATACTTTATCGGCTTCTAAAATTAAATGACGTAGCTTTTAGCTTGTAATAGAAAGTTTTTTTAAGTAAAGAATAGTTTAACAGAGAGTTATTAAATGGAAATAAACAGAAACTTAACAGCATTTATAACAAATCCACGAATCTCTTTTGGTGGTGGGCGGCCACTGGTAAAGATAAATACTCGTGACAACGACAGCCGTAATCTCACTCGTATGTTGCCAAAAACATGTCCCCTTCCCCGTGTTCGCACCCGATGGAGCTGTGACCTACTCAACACCAAAAATACTGTTAATAATGCTAGCTAGGCACGCCCGTTTGTACAGTAAAGTTGCTCCGACAGTCTGGCGGCTTCGATTCGAGAACAAATCTCCTCTTGCTTCCCTCCTACTATAATGCTTAACAAAGCGATATCTCTAGTGGACATCAAGGGATGAAAATTTGATACTGGGTATCTTAAATAAATAGGCAGAACTTATCTACAGTTATTAACGAGTTTTTGTGATATAAATAATAAATTGGACTATATATTTTTTAATGATAAAGATAAAAAAACAATACAAAACAGTTTTTTTACAAATGAAATTTCGTGTTGTGTATTAAGAACAGAAACGAAAACAGTTTTTTGCATGTAAATTAGGACAAAACAGTTCAATATCTTTCTGACCGACTTTAAAAAGAAGAATGTATTTTTTAATGGGTCTAATCCCTCCCATACGCTTACCACTGTAACTCCTGCAAACGAATAGCGGTAATGACAAACTGAGTAATGACACTCGGAAAGTCCCAGGAAAAATTAAACTGTCTTGAAACTCGCAACGAAATTAATCTGAAGAAAATTGAAGGAGTTGGAAGTATAATAAATTGACTTCCCTCCTTAGAAAAGCGGGAGACAAATTGTAGCAAAAAATAGGCATACACCCTTTGCAGCCATGGAAACCCCACGGTCACAAAATATTACGGGTCCTTAGTGAGCCATATTGGATTTTTATGGTATGTATGGCAGAATCATCCAAACGCATCTAAATTCACCCTCGTTGTCATAAGATGCTCACAGTATACCGCCCAAGATGTTACCTTTAAGTTATTCTTTAGATTCATTGTACCAAAGACTACATTCCCACAGGATATGATGAGCAGACTGTTTACAGTTAGAACCATGTGTTGAACATTGACACAATAATGACTCGACTAATTTAAATGAATGCAGCTAGCGAAATAGTGATCCACCTCAAGCCATATTCTCGACTTCTCGAGAAATGCTCGCGAACAGATGGAAAGAACTGGTAAAGGTGGCGCACCTTCGATGATTCGTCCAAGCGTTCTTGCCATTCGTCTATGAAGTCATTATAGACATTCAATTACACTGCAATTGAAGCAATCTAGTGATTTTATCGCGATCTCGTGCGTCCAAAAAATCGGATTTCATGTTTTCTAGTGTTGAATATAGTACATGGCTGCACCTCGCTAGTCTTTGCACCTCGAGATCGACCGGAAGCACACCCGCCAACACTGGCAAAGCATTAGTGCTAGCCGTCCTATGCCTTGCACAAAAATATCAGCGCGAGTCGTTGGCCTTGTAACAGTTTGCGACGCACGACGCCTACAGTTGCCTTATCGGCCCATACAGGTGCCCCATAGCATTTAGAACCTAGATAAATTGCTCCGTAAATGATCTTTAGTGTATTAAATGATAGACCCCATGTCGCAGTTGATTTCCTTGTTAATGCATAGACTGCTCTTTTTAGTCTTTACATTAACTGTTCTAATATGTGCAATAAATGAAAAGTTTATTTCTAAAACTAATCCTAAATAACAAACTGAGGTTTTATTTTTGATGAAAACCTGATACTACTCAGTTGTTATAGCCAAACATTGGTAAACTTAATAAATTGATTTAAAGGATAATGGCCAAAACAGGTTACCATCGATTCATCATGGAAATATTGTCACGAATTAGGAACATCTATTAGCAGAAATTTATTCGTCATAATATTAGATAAGGGCATAATGTTATTGAGCTCGATACTATTTTACTTTTTTCTTTTTTTTTCAGGCGGAGTATGCTTATCGCACCATACCCTCCGTGGGGAAACGCAGGGCGTGTGTGGGACTTTTGGAGAACCGGTCTACCCACTAAACCCCGCGGTGGCCTACCTCGGCAGTCGTGAGGAGTTCCAGGAACGCATCGGCGATTTCTGGAGTCCACCCTGCCGTACTCATGTCTAAGGCACATTCCGGAGTGACCGTAGTCACCCATTTTACCTACATCATCATCATCAACAGCCTTTAATAGTCCACTGCTGGACATAAGCCTCTCCTTGGAAAGGAGGTTTTGGCCTCCTTTTACCTACAGATGCCTACATATTCATCATAAGATTCATAAGACCAGTACCGATCACCTGTGTTTTTTTTGTATCAGTGTAGGATCTATGACTTATTCACCAATAACTTAGCGGTATTGAACATAAGGTTTATTTTTGTTTATAGAATAGAATGTTGTTGAGCATTTACGATTACCTTGTAACCTTTTCTGTTCTAGTCTAGGATAATAATTTTTGGGTTTGCAACCATAGCTTCTCTTTGCCTTTACATCATTATTACTGCCATTGTTCTCGTCACTTTAAATAATATTCTCGTTATTCTTAAAAATTGTATCTTTCTCAGTATCCACCGTCACCACCACTTTATCTGGAATGATATCTCTAGAATCTAATTTATACAAGAACTACTCAATGGGCAGAGTGCAAATACGTACTGAACAACTGAGCACGCCTGACAATATAACGATGGCAAATGGTTGACGTTTTGCAATTAAGACTTATACTACTTTTATTTTCCTAAACTTGGGTATAACATAGATAGGAGTGAAGGAAGTAAGTAAAAACCAAACAAGTTAGCCGATAATCATATTAGAACTAGGCCAACTTTCGCAAGGCAACTAGATGCCCAACAAAAATAATTAATCATCAACCTCTTCGTAACATGTTCTGGCTATTTCGGGTATGTTGAAAAGGCTCGCGAGATTGATTTTAAACTTAGTGAAGTTATTAAAAAACTATCGCTAGTATATTTGATAAATAAAAAAATGTACAGTGTGCTTAGGATAACAATACGGATGTGTACATAAACTTCCAGGATCTTTTATTTAAATTACAAGTTTTTATTTAATGTTTTTAGACTAAGACAATTTAACAGATACTGAGAATTAGCACCACTGAGGACAGATTTTCAAGAGTCAGCATAAACGTTGTTTATTTGATGTTTACATTGTTGCTGTAAACTTATGCTATTTTTTTACTTACAGTTTTAATGTGACAGTGATTTTTTTACCCTCTTTATTATGTATTATAACCCTGCCTATGTTAATAGTTTTTCTACCACATTTATTTCTTTATCATTGCTTGAAATAATTACAGTACAAACACCTAACGTTTATTTTGGATTGCTATTTCCATACAAAGATTGTCTGTGAAAGACATCGCTCTTAGCTAAAAGGCCGCCTATTTTTACAGCCTATGATTAACTCGGTCTATGGTGTGTGATGCATGTTAATTAATGATGTGGTATACAGTGAAGGAAATGCTACCCATCGATCTATCCGAATAAGAATACATGAATTTAGTACGAAAAGCGATTAATAGGTTTTATTCAAGAGCTAATTGGTTCATAAAAATCGGCTGGTATAAAACACCAAATCTAAGTTTATTTTATTATTTTAATTACTTTTTTTCAATATAACATTCTTGAATAGTGTAATTTTCTCAAGCTCAATGCACGTGACTACGCGAGACCTGGCTCGTCCTCGTGTTGAGAGTTGCGCGTTCGCTGTATTACGTTATATATTTATATATGTATTACGTTATATATATATACGACGAAGACCTAAAGCCCAATTCTCGTAATAAAAGTTCGGTCTCAATTCGGTTTCGATCACAACTGTCATGAAAGGTATTTTCATAGTAAAGTATTAAACATCCAACGTAGACTGTTATGTGATTATATCGTTTTGGAATCAAATATTGAATCGATAATCTACTAGTTTATATAATACTTTACTATTTTACTACGAAAATACCTTTTATGACGGTTGTGAGACTGAAAGTTAATAAGAACAAAATTGTGACCAAACTTTTATTACGAGAATTGGCCTTCCGTAATAACGTCTTTAAAACTGGAATAAAAAAATCTGTTTAAAAATCTGTGATCTTCAAAAGAAAAAAAAAGTGTAGGTTTTTTAAGGATCACTTCATTGACACTACAAATCCCTTGAAGCTGTAAAATAAATAGCTGAGTCGCTAGTGTGCCCTTTGAAATACACTTGTTGCCTCGCACAACCAATCTGTTTAAAAAAAATATTGTCTTCAGGATTCCCGGACTGATACGAACTTCAAACATTCAAGAAAAGAGCGTACTCCTTCCTCAAACGCGCTTGTCTCCTGAGTTGCAGGCGCTCATTTTCGGCGGTAGTCACTTTTCATCAGGTGACCCTTT